GTTCGCAACTCCCGCAACCAAACACCCCCAGTACCGGCACCAGTGTCTGATGAGACAGGTGGCAGGAGACGGAGACGAACCCACCTTTGTCTATGTGCCCTTCCACACATCGGACTTATTTAATTGGAAAAATCAAAACCCATCTTTTAGAGAGGACCCTGAGAAAATGCAAAATTTGTTTCGGTCGATAGGGCAAACTCATCACCCCACCTGGGCTGATGTTCAGATGATGTTACATACCCTTTTGACCTCTGAGGAAAGGCAATTGGTACAGGGAGCAGCAGATAAGATAGCCGAGGAACGCGCACCGGGGGAGATATACAGGAAACGTGCCCTATTGAGAATCCCAACTGGAACGACGGTTCACCGGAGGGAAGAGTGCACAATAGAGAGTATCTAGGAATCATAGTGGAAGCTCTGGGCAAAGCAGTACCACGAGTAACTAATCTCTCCAAATTATGCGAAGTCCGTCGAGGAAAGGATGAATCTCCCTCGGTTTTTTTGGAGCAGTTGTATGATGCTTTTAAGAAATTCAGTAATATAGACCCTGAGGCCCAAGAAAATCATTGCATGGTAAACATGCTGTTTATTGGGCAAGCGGCTCCAAACATAAGAAAGAAGTTACAAAAAGTTGAAGGAGGACCAGGGAAACCCCTTTCGGAGCTCGTAGAAATTGCATATAAAGTTTACGGAAATCGGGATCAGGTAGCAGAAAAAAAGGAGGAAAAGCGTGGGCAAAGACAAATGGCAATGCTGGCAGCTGCCCTGGGCAAAGGCGCCAACCTTGGTGGGGGTCGGAAGGAGCAACCTGAGGGGGGGCAGAAGAAAGGGAAGAATCGACCGAAGCCTGATGAGTGTGCATATTGTCGGGAAAAAGGACATTGGAAAAGGGATTGTCCTAAACTAAAGGACAAAAAGAGGGAAACCCAACCAGGGGGCCGCCAGATGCGTGCGGAGTCCTCAGGGGAAGATTCTAGCTGAAGGGGACTGGGATTCAAGGCCACCGCCCTGCGGACGAATGCCCGAAAGGATCCCATGGTACAGATAAGGGTTGGTGGCAGAGACTATGAGGCACTGGTAGATACCGGGGCCACCTTTTCAACGATTCCCGTCAAACCTCCTTTAGCCAAAGAAAGTGGAAAGCATGTGACTGTAGAAGGGATAGAGGGAAGACGAACCAGATTGCCTGTGTGTAAGCCCCTCCTCACAAAGATTGGAA